GAGTCATAGGAAGAGTGGGGGAACACCTGGAAAGAAACAAGGTAAATCGAAACCAGCATGGTTTTGGGGAAGGAAAATCCTGCCCAAAAACCTTTCAGGTTTTGACAGAAGTAAGAAGAAGTAAGACAAGAGAGAGAGAGGGTGGATAGACTGCATTTCCTTGGACCTGCAAGAAGGCCTTTGGCACAGTTCCCTCACAAGAGGTTAATGCAAAAGCTGGAGGATCAGGCACAATAACAGGAAAGGCACTGCAATGGATCAGAGAATACCTGACAAGGGAGGCAACAACGAGTCATGGAAACGTGACGAAGTGTCAGAGTGGGCGCCTGTGACAAGCGGGGTTCCACAGGGGTCAGTCCTACGTCCTGTGCTGTTTTTGGTATACGTGAATGACATAACGGAAGGGATAGACTCAGAAGTGTCCTTGTTTGCAGATGATGTGAAGTTAATGAGGAGAATCAAATGGGCCAAGGATCAGGCAGGACTACAAAGAGACCTGGACAGGCTACAAGCCTGGTTCAGCAACTGGCTCCTTGAGTTTAACCCTGCCAAATGCAAAGTCATGAAGATTGGGGAAGGGCAAAGAAGACCGCAGACACAGAGTAGTCTAGGTGGGCAAAGACCGCAAACCTCACTCAAGGAAAAAGATCTTGGGGTGAGTATAATACATAAGAACATAAGAATGGAGGAAACACTGCAGAAGGCCTACTGGCCCATACAAGGCAGGTCCTCATCAAAACGACCCCTCCCCAAAAGCTCCCCAAGAATTTACGAGCACATCTCCTGAGGCGCCATCAATCAGATAACTGCTGCAGCGCACGGGCGTCTGGCAAACCTAAGGATAGCTTCCGATAAATCAGAAAGGGGAAATCGTTCAAGACTCTGTACACATATTACGTCGGGATCATATTGGAGTGTGTAGCACCAGTTTGGAATCCACACCTGGTCAAGCACGTCAAGAAATTAGAGAAAAGTGCAAAGGTTTGCAACAAGAGCTAAGGGAACTGTCCTACGAGGAAAGGTTTAAAGGGAAATCTCCTGACGACACTGGAGGACAGGAGGGTCAGGGGGACATGATAACGACATATAAAAATACTGCGGGGAAATAGACAAGGGGACAAAGACAGGATATTCCAGATATGGGACACAGAAAAAAGGGGGTCACAATTGGAAGTTGAAGATCAGAGGAGTCAAAGGATGTTAGGAAGTATTTCTTCAGTCTTTAGAGTAGTCAGGCAGTGGAATAGCCAGAAAGTGACTTTAGTGGAGGCGGGAACCATACATATTTTAAGGCGAGGTATGATAAAGCTCATGGAGCAGGGAGAGAGAGGACCCAGTAGCAATCAGTGAAGAGGCGGGCCAGGAGCTATGAATCGACCCTTGAAAACCACAAATAGGTGAGTAACACCCCACACACACACACACACACGCACCAGAACACCACACCACACACACACAACACACACACCACAACACACACACACACACACACACACCCCACACACACCCCAAAAAACCTCTGTTTACATTACTGTGGCAAGCGGTGAGAGTTTTGGCTTTGATAAATTGTCAATTCTTGGTGCTTCTGGGAAGTGTAAGGAAAAAGCCCACTTGTCAAGCACAGAACAACTATAGATTTAATCATATAAAAGACAGGGATCCCTGTCTTTTGTAGCATTTAGTCAAGAATAACGGGACATGAATGAATACCTCGGACAATTACTGGACACATAGTGAAATAACAGTTAATTAATTTATTGAGAATAGAGTAAATTATATGGATAACATGTATTGCAGGAGACGAATCCTTGTTTCTACTCTTTCAATGGCGGGGGTTTTGGAAAGGGGCTAGAAGTTAGAAATATAGATGTGTATGGTGCAAGGGTTTAGAGTGGCAACTTTCTGGGCAGTCTTGGACTGCTTTTTACAACAGATTTTGACCGAACCATTTATATGGACAACTTGCTTGACCTGATTCAGACATTATTGTCGTGTGAAGATGGTTAATATTATATTGTTTCTGATGCTACCTCACTCCAGGTTCCTGCTGCGTCCTAACATGATGTCCAGGTCTACTATAAACCAGGCCCCGGCTGCTCCATCAGTCAACTCCCTCAGGCCAGACATACTTAGCGGCCTCCACCCTGAAGCCCATGACTCCGATGTCTAGGAGGAGGTTGAGGTAGTGAGCCAGCTGTTCCCTGACGTGGTAACTGGAGGTGTAGAGGTCAGTGAGGCCTAACAGGTAGCAGTTCCTCACCTCATACACATCCCTGGTTGGGTTTCCTACAATACCTGCAAAACCAGCGCCAACTTATTGAAACAGCGTAACTCCTATGTTTTAAAATTATGGGGAAAGAGTGCATCTAAATTCCTTAAGGAGCTGGGAAAAAGACTCATAAGGGTAACTAGGATCCAGGGCAAGCTAGTTTTCTGTTTCCAAGGGCTCAGTGCGCTGTTTCAAAGGGTAATCCTGCTGGTATTTTGGGGAACACGCCCCCAGCTTGAGGGCTGGTTGGATTTCGCCTTGTAATCGGTGATACACACGTAACAACATGTACCGTATATGCCACCTTTATATCAACAATGTATCTCTTAAATCTTCTGTACCATATTATGTAATAAAATATTCCTATTGATAAAAAAAAAATATATGAAAAGATGGGGTGGTAGGGGGAAATGGAATATTCAAACGGCTTCAGGAAGAAATCCAAATATTTCTTCCTTTGAAGCCTTTTATCCCCTTCTCCGAGGGGTGTGGCTCCCCAAAAATTTACACCAGAGGTGGACCCACCATATTATATAATTATATATATATATATATATATATAATATATATATATATATTTTAAAATATATATAATATATAATATATATATATATATATATATATATATATCATGAGATCACAGTAAAACAGGTATACAGATTATGCAAAACCCCCATACATACTATGATGGTGAAAGGTAGAAGAGATGGTGAAGGGTAAAAAGTGATGTTTAAGGGTAGGGTGATGGGAAGGTTTGAAGTGTGATGAAGGTAAAAAGTGATGGTGAAGGGAACTCCACAGCAGAGGGACACAGTCTTGAGGGTGAAGTCGACGCGTGTAAGGGACACCAGGAAGTCAAGTTGGTCAGCATTGAAGTCGTGCCGCCCGGAAAACCGTAACCTGACCTTCCAACTCCGCCATGGGTTGACCACCCCGCCAGATGACCTGCCAGGTCAAACACTCATCACAAATAATCCAGACTCACATTAATCAAAAAACCTGTATTTTTCAAGAAAACAGTTACCTAGAGAATCATTAAAACCTTTCTACTTATATAATTATTATCTCCATTAATTTAGCAGAAAACATAATGATCTTATGGTGGTTTTCTGTGGTGAGTAAATTTGCACCCTACTCTATAAGAAAATAAGAAAGAAGGAATACTGAGAAGGCCTATGGCCCATGCGAGCAGGTCCAAGTAACCTCCCGGCTTAGACTAATGACCCACCTAATCAGGTCAGGTCACATATACTTAGGAAGGGGACGGCCCTCAGAACCTAATAGTAAAAACTATTAGGTCCATTCACAACCCACTCAGTAGTAATTTATCTAACTATTTTTAAAACTACACATGTTCTAGCCTCTATACGTACTCGGGAGTTTGTTCCATATCTAAACTCTGTTACAAACCGTTTTCTAAACTTCCTGAATCAATTTTTATTTTTTTCCCCTTAACTCTGGTGGAAACGCTCTTTTGGGGTTCACCGGGGCGAGGGCCTGGTTTCGTTCCAAGCCAGAGTAGAAACATTGGGCGTGTTTCTATAACACCGGTTGTCTATGCTCCCCAAACAGTAAAAATGGGTACCTGGGTGTTAGTTGACTGGTGTGGGGCCGCATCCTGGACACTGACCTAATTGCCCGAAATACTTTAAACATATCAAGCGGCTTTGTTTAGTAGTATGTCATTTTTATGTCAGCTGACTGTATACCTTGTACATGTACTTGTAGTAAATAAATAAAGATATAAAGATAGTGCTGCTATGAGAGTTTTATCTTTTTACACCGGTTCCTCCCTAATATTCCTATCCACAGTTTTTCTGTGGCTTCATCTCACAGTTTTCCCCATATCGTAGTCCTTTATGTCTCCCTGTCACACTCTTCCTGTAATGCCCTCCTTGTCTCCCTATCTGTTTTAAAATAACCCTCCCTGTCACACCCTCTCTGACGCAGTCAGGAATCCCTTCTTGTCTTCCTCTGCCTCACCTCACTCCCACAGCATTACAGCGCTGCACCATGTCGATGAACTCCATGGCTGTGCCTGAGCGGGACTCCAGTGTGTATGAAACTGGTTGGTATCGCTGCCACCATGGGTACCCGTTCTCTGCGATCACTGTATGTTCCGCTGCTGGTGAGACCTGTGTTAGTGGACACACCTTAGTCATCAATGTATCTGTTGTTTGTTTTATTAAAGTACTCGAAATAAAGCCATCTTTCTTCAGCAGTTCCTTTTGTTCTAACCCTCAGCGCGTTCGTTCCCTCCTGCTTTGCTTCCATTAATTTCTTCCTTATTTACCACCTTCTTTCCTGATTTCCTTCTCTCCTTCCTTCCTGCCTGTCTTTTACCAATCCTTCCACCATGTGCAAATTTATTCAATAAATTCCCAAGTAATAATTGCAGAAATTACAATTCCCTCAGCTCGTGTAATCAACTCAGGTTAAAACTATACATATAAAGAATCTCAAACCCTGACAGAACCAGAGAACCACTGAAAGTTAGTCACTTTAATATCTTTATTAAGCACACTATACCCATGGTGTGGGTGGCAGTCAGAAGATTACAGAGGTACATAATGGATCCAGGGATTGGACCCATTATGTACCTCTGTGGTAATGAACTAGTCGCATGTTTATATCTGGTTACAATCGTAATAAGTTATTTATGCAGACGTGAATTAGGTCATAAATATATCACAAAAATTTTACGTTATATTTTAGCAAGGTATACTTGTAAAAATAAAATTTGAGTGGTTATGTGTTATTTACAATCGGCAAAGTCAAGGTATTTTTCCAAAATAGTTGGTAATATATCACTGTGGATGAAACACTGACATTTCTTGAAATTTTCTGAGTAAGTTGTCTCCGAATTCATTAATTTTATCGCATTCCATAACACAGTGACGCAAGATGCGACAATTGTACATATGGCAACATCTACATTCATCCCAACTGACCTGGAATGACCGCATGGAGGCTCTGAATGACCCCGACTGACCTGGACGGCGCAGTACCCGGCGTCCCCCAGGAACCTCTCGCACTCCTCGGCCACGTCTGTCCATTTCCATTCGAAAAGCTCAACGATCGTTTGTCGACCGTCGCACGAGGGTGTGTCGTAGCCCCGAGCACCACTCACCACCACCACCACCACCACCAACCTGCAAGTGTCAGTCAGTAATTAGTCCCCAACACTGTCAGTCATCGGTCTGGTTGGCAGACAGTGCTGGCAAGTATGGTAAAGTGAGATGAGATACAGACCAATTATTTGTTATGACAGCGTTTCTCTCAGTGTTGATGGCGAAACGTAGTCAGGATAAAGTCTGGTTCATCGTATGGTTTGGCTTTGACCAAAGTGTTATTCATTAACCTACCATACAATCACTCGCCATGCAGAGCAAAACTTACACATAAGCAAATTGAACAATCATATATAACTCACGATATCGTAGTAACACGACTGTAAACAAACCATGGTACGGGTTGGGTCTGAATCCATGGAGAGGGAGTCATAAAACTCCAGGCCAGTTCGTAAGCCAGTTGGCCAACTGGCTTACGAACTGGCCTAGAATTGTACGACTCACTCTCCATGGGTCCTAACCCCACCCATACCGTGGTTTGTTTTTTTAATCATATATGGTTTAAAGCAGGGATTCTTAACCGTGGATATCCATACCCCTTGTGGGTATGGGAACCAAATAATGGAGGCATGAGACGCGATCTCGGGACTAAATAATAAAACTCTTATGCTTTTCTTTCAGATGTTCTGTTAGTAGCTATTCACATGTAAAATAAAACCATCTTACTGTAATCTTTTAAAGTCACACTGGTACCTAATATGACTGAGGAAGGTGGTGTTGATTTCCACAGTCTGGTGAAAGGGGTATGGCGACACATTGGGCAGTCCACTGGGGTTCTGTAATCGTAAAAAGATTAAGAACCCCTGGTTTAAGCTATACCCTTTTCTAGTCTCTCATTTTAGTAACTATTTGGGAGGCCTGGTCGTGGACCGAGCTGCGGGGGGCGTTGCACCCCCCAGAATACCCTCCAGGTAGACTTGCGTAACAGATTATGGACATGACCTTCAAATATGCTATATATATGTGTGGACGTAGATACAATGTTTCATATATATATAGAATGTGAGGTATCTTCGTTTTGTATCAGCAGCAGATTCTGCCATCACCTGTGAAAGTTCCCACTGCCACCTACACCCACCTCAAGCCAGGCACTCTGTTGTATCTCGTCTGTGACTACTTTTTCCTGGGTACTGTGTCTCAATGCTATAGACAGGTCAAACAAACTTCCATAGGTAGGTTGAACAAACTGCCAAAGGTAGGTTGAACAAACTGCCAAAGGTAGGTTGAACAAACTGCCAAAGGTAGGTTGAACAAACTGCCAAAGGTTAGGTTGAACAACTGCCAAAGGTAGGTTGAACAAACTGCCAAAGGTAGGTTGAACAAACTGCCAAAGGTAGGTTGAACAAACTGCCAAAGGTAGGTTGAACAAACTGCCATAGGTAGGCTGAACAAACTGCCATAGGTAGGCTGAACAAACTGCCATAGGTAGGCTGAACAAACTGCCATAGGTAGGCTGCACAAACTGCCATAGGTAGGCTGAACAAACTGCCATAGGTAGGCTGAACAAACTGCCATAGGTAGGCTGAACAAACTGCATTTCCTTAAAAGAATAAAGCATTTATACGTTAGTTTTTCTGGCTTGCTAGATGAATAATAATGTGCAACACCTGGGTAACTTATAAGACACGTGTGCAACACCTGGGTATCTTTATAAGACACATGTGCAACACCTGGGTAACTTATAAGACACATGTGCAACACCTGGGAATCTTTATAAGACACATGTGCAACACCTGGGTATCTTCGTAAGACACATGTGCAACACCTGGGAATCTTTATAAGACACATGTGCAACGCCTGGGTAACTTATAAGACACATGTGCAACACCTGGGAATCTTTATAAGACACATGTGCAACGCCTGGGTAACTTATAAGACACATGTGCAACACCTGGGTATCTTCGTAAGACACATGTGCAACACCTGGGAATCTTTATAAGACACATGTGCAACGCCTGGGTAACTTATAAGACACACGTGCAACACCTGGGAATCTTTATAAGACACATGTGGCAAACACCTGGGTAACTTATAAGACACATGTGTAACACCTGAGAATCTTTATAAAACACACGTGCAACACCTGGGTAACTTATAAGACACGTGTGCAACACCTGGGTATCTTTATAAGACACATGTGCAACACCTGGGTATCTTTATAAGACACATGTGCAACACTTTGTTATGTTTATAAGACACATGTGCAACATCTGGTATCTTAACTGGCGATACATTTCGCCTGGTATTGTATACCGTCATTAATATGGCTGTTGCGTGACACAGCAACACCATGGTGTCTGGGTACAGTCGTTTAACATAACCTGCTTCCTTTAGTGGGACACGCTCACTTGTGATAACACCTCCAGCTGCTTCACCTCACTTCTATTCTAGTGCGTAAGGCCTGGCTGCATGGCTATGCCTTAGGCCTGAAGGACTGACCTCCTCCTACCAAGACTGAGGGACTAATCACCTCACAAAAAGTATTACAATAATAATCTTTATTTCTAGACGATACAACTTATACAGACCATAGCTGACATCTGTGACATACTATATAGAAAACCCTAGGTTATGCAGAAAAATTCTGGCAATTAAGGTTAATTTTGCCCCTGGTATGCGACCCACACCGGTCGGCTAACACCCAGGTACCTTACTTGCTGCACAGGGACAGCCGATGTCTCAAGGAAACATGCTCAAAATTTTCACCTATACCAGGAATCGAACCACTGACCTCAATGTGCGAGGTGAGTGCGCTACCAAGTGAGCTACGGGACGTGTGTTCCACTGAATAATTCTGTTGTAAAGCCGAAACTTTTCGACAAGATATCCAGGTGTTGCACATGTGTTTTATAGAGATATCCAGGTGTTGCACATGTGTCCTATAAAAATATCTAAGTGTTGCACATGTGTCGGCATTTTAAGCCATCATTAATATGATAAAAATCCGTGAAATATATTACTTTCCCTGATTGATTTTCAAGGAAGTATTGCATACAGAAACAAGCGCTCGACTTATCTGACAAAACAACAAGAAAAAGAAATGCAAAACAGCAACATTGTATGTTAGTGGTAACTTTGAGAGTGAACTTACCAGAGTGTAAACATGGCGCTCTCTGAGAGTGAACTTACCAGAGTGTAAACATGGCGCTCTCTGAGAATGAAGTGTGAGTGAACCAGATGATGGTGTTGCTGATAATGGTACCTTATGTCGCATCTCCACTCCCACCTCACGACCCCCCCCTTTTCCACCCCACCAGCCACCATCCCTCCCCTCCTTAGTCTTCCCACTCCCCTAACACCACAGGTTAAGTAAGGTTCGTCAGGAAACAGGACAAGTGTTTCCTGATGCGGGTCTTAGATAGATGACTAGCCGTTGGAGTTTCTGGTCATGTGACCGAGGCCTTCCGCTGGCTTACCGGTCCACTCCGTCAAAAATTATGGTCATAGAACACCCGCTTCCTCTCTTCCCACATCACAGTATTCTCACTTTATGACTTCTGTTTTCACTATGGATGATAAGTGTACTTACGTGTACCTGTACCTAAACTTAATAAGCACAACCCAGTTTGTCATTTCCTCTTGTTATCTTCTTTCCTGTTATCTTATTATCTTCTTGCCTGGTGGGAAAAGCTCTCGCTTCACACGGTGAGTGTCCGGGTTCGATTCCTGGCGAAGGGGTGGAAACATCGGACGTGTTTCCGTACACCGGTTGTCCATGTTCACCCATCAGTATAATAGGTACCTGGGTGTTAGTCGACTGGTGTGGGTCGCATCCTGGGACAAAACTGACCTAATTTGCCCGAAATGCTCTGCATAACAAGGGACTTTCTATATAGTAGTATGTCATTGATGTCAGCTAGACCTGTATACCTTGTGCATGTACTTGTAGAAATAAAGATATTATTATTATTATTATTATTATTATTATTATTTTATTATTATTATTATTATTATTATTATTATTATTATTATAATAATATTATTATTATTTTTATTTGTCGCTCTCCGCTCTTCCTATCTTCCTCCTCACTCCCACACAAAACATTCTCTCCTCTCCCATCCTTATCTTGTCCCAGGTTGTCTCACCAGACTGGATTGTCGTGGATAACTCCTACATAGTGTGTGCACTGCTGTGCACTCCTTGTAACGTTGTTGTGTTCACACAAGTGGCGGAAGGAGTAATGAGAATCCATCATTCATTGTTGTAAGTCTGTAACTGGTGCGCTGGCCAGTGTGTGCCAGAGTGAATCTTACCTCAGTGATGGTCTGTGTACATGAACATACGTAGTAGCAGTTACTAATTGTCGAAGGCACTTGTCGATAGACACTTGGCCTATTTTGTGTGGTGCGGTTGATGATTTGTTTGTTTGTTTGTGTGTGTGTGTGTGTGTGTGTGTGTGTGTGTGTGTGTGTGTGTGTGTGTACTCACCTAGTTGAGGTTGCAGGGGTCGAGTCCAAGCTCCTGGCCCCCGCCTCTTCACTGGTCGCTACTAGGTCACTCTCCCTGAACCGTGAGCTTCATCATACTCCTGCCTCCACTGTGTGTGTGTGTGTGTGTGTGTGTGTGTGTGCACTCACCTAATCGTACTCACCCAGTTGTGGTTGTAGGGGTCGAGTCATAGCTCAATAAAGGATAGTGAGCGATCTTGCATGGTGTACTCACCTAGCTGTGGTTGCAGGGGTAGGGCCACAGCTCCTGGCCCCGCCTCTTCACTGGTCACTACTAGGTCACTCTTCCTCCCCCATGAGCTTTATCATACCTCTTCTTAAAGCTATGTATGGATCCTGCCTCCAATACATCACTTCCCAGGCTATTCCACTTCCTGAAGAAATACAGAAAATACCTTTGACTCATCTGAGTCTTCAACTTCCATTTGTGACCCCTTGTGTCTATGCCCCATCTCTGGAACATCCTGTCTTTGTCCACCTTGTCAATCCCTCGCATTAATTTATATGTCGTTATCATGTCTCCTCTCACATTCCTGTTCTCCAGTGTCGTCAGGCAGGTTTCCTTAACCTTTCTTCGTGTGTGTGTGTGTGTGTGTGTGTGTGTGTGTGTGTGTGTGTGTGTGTGTGTGTGTGTGTGTGTGTGTGTGTGTGTGTGTGTGTGGTGTGTGTGTGTGTGTGTGTGTGTGTGTGTGTGTGTGTGTGTGTGTGTGTGTGTGTGTGTGTGTGTGTGTACTCACCTAATTGTGGTTGCAGGGGTCGAGACTCAGCCCCTAGCCCCGCCTGATCGCTACTAGGTCCTCTCTCTCTCTGCTTCCTGAGCTTTGTCATACCTCATCTTAAAGCTATGTATGGTTCCTGCCTCCACTACATCACTTGCTAGGTTATTCAACTACCTGACGACTCTGTGGCTGAAGAAGTACTTCCTAACATCCCTGTGACTCGTCTGAGTCTTCAACTTCCAATTGTGACCCCTTGTTCCTGTGTCCACTCTCTGGAACATTCTGTTTCTGTCCACCTTGTCTATTCCACGCATTATTTTGTTTGTTGTTATCATGTCTCCCCTGACCCTCCTGTCCTCCATTGTCGTCAGTCCGATTTCCCTCATCCTTTCTTCGTAGGACATTCCCCTGAGCTACGTAATTAGCCTTGTTGCAAACCTTTGTGCTTTCTCTAATTTTTTGACGTGCTTGACCAGGTGTGGGTTCCAAACTGGTGATGCATACTCCAGTATGGGCCTGACGTACACAGTGTACAGTGGCTTGAACGATTCCTTACTAAGGTATCAGAACGCTATTCTCAGGTTTGCCAGGCGCCCATATGCTGCAGCAGTTATCTGGTTGATGTGTGCCTCCGGAGACGTGCTCGGTGTTATGGTCACCCCAAGATCTTTCTCCTTGAGCGAGGTTTGCAGCCTTTGTCCACCTAGCCTATACTCTGCGATCATCTTTGCCCTTCCCCAATCTTCATGACTTTGCATTTGGCAGGGTTGAATTCAAGGAGCAAGTTGCTGGGCTAGGCTTATAGCCTGTCCAGGTCTCTTTGTAGCCCTGCCTGATCCTCATCCGATTTAATCCTTCTCATTAGCTTCACATCATCTGTGAACAGGGACACTTCAGAGTCTATCCCTTCCCTCATGTCATTCACATATATCAAAAATAGCACTGGTCCTAGGACTGACCCCTGTGGGACCCTGCTCGTCACAGGTGCCCACTGTGATACCTCATCACGTACCATGACTCGTTGTTGCCTCCCTGTCAGGTATTCTCTGATCCATTGCAGTGCCCTTCCTGTTATTTGCGCCTGATCCTCCATTATTATTATTAACACGAGGGAGCGCTAAACTCGTAGGATTATACAGTACATATAGGGGGGATGGGAGGCATTCAGGCTTAATTGAGGGAACTGGAGCACAGATCCAATTCCCTAGATCAAGAGCCTGATCCTCCAGCTTTTGCACTAATCTCTCGTGAGGAACTGTGTCGAAGGCCTTCCTGCAGTCCAAGAAAATGCGATCAACCCCCCCTCCTTTCTCTCGTGTCTTACTTCTGTTACCTTGTCATAAAACTCCAGAACGTTTGTTACACAGGATTTGCCTTCCATGAATCTGTGCTGGTTGTTGTTTGTAATCTTGTTTCATTCCAGGTGCTCCACCACTCTCCTCCTGATAATCTTCTCCATGACTTTGCATACTATACACGTCAGAGACACAGGTCTGTAGTTTAGTGCCTCGTTTCTGTCTCCTTAAAGATGGGGACTACATTTGCCGTCTTCCATACCTCAGGTAGTTGCCCAGTTTCAAGGGATGTATTGAAGATTATGGTTAGTGGCACGCATAGTGTGTGTGTGTGTGTGTGTGTGTGTGTGTGTGTGTGTGTGTGTGTGTGTGTGTGTGTGTGTGCGACCGCGTTCATTTCTTTGTAATTTTTCTGCGGGAGTTAATATGTAAGTTTTGGTCCTGCCTTTGCACTTGGACTGACTGGTGAGGCTCACTTGATCCTCTCTGTCACTGTCTTATTTTTTTTATTTGGTTCGTCTCCACTAAATGCTTCTTAATAAATTCTATTTGTTAGCTGCCCTCACACTGAAGGAATTCTTTATGCCCCTTTATCACATTTGAACCTCTTACCTACCAGTTGCTTCCTCGTTCTTCCTCCAAGCTCAAATAATGTGTCATTGTCAACTTTATCTGAGTATCTCTAAAGTTGTGATTATGTCTCCTCCGTTCATCTAGTTATGTAGATCCAGCTCCCTCTTTTTCTTCTTCACTCTGTGTCCCAGCCTCGAAGCTCTGGGACCAACCTTTTTATCAAACCTCTGAAGTTTCTTGATTCTTTCATGCTTGATGAGGTGAAGGTTGCATTGTGGCGCAGAGTACTCAAGTACAGGTCCGATGTACGCCATGTACAGTGATGTGTGCCTCAGGCGAGAAGTCTGCTGTATTGTACATGATGATGGTGTAGATGTGATATAGACGGTGAGGTAAATGGTGATGCAGATGGTGATGAAACTTAGTACTATTGTGCTTATGATTGCACTGTGTTTACCTGGAGTTTACCTGGAGAGAGTTTCGGGGGTCAATGCCCCCGCGGCCCGGTCTGTGACCAGGCCTCATAGCTTTTGTGTACACTGTATACACTTGTGTGTACACTATGCTTATACGTACACCTTCATGAGGACAGTGTTTACTGCGTGTATAGAGTATGTGTACACCAGCTGACCTTCATGTGTACACGTGATGCGCAACCTTAGGTAAAAAGTCTTTACAGGCATAACAGCTGATAACGAGTCCAGAGGATGACACTGTGTCATCCAGAGGATGACACACTGAGTCCAGAGGACGACAGTGAATCCAGAGGATAACACAGTGAGTCCAGAGGGTGACACAGTTAATCCAGAGGATAACACAGTGAGTCCAGAGGGTGACATAGTTAATCCAGAGGATAACACAGTGAGTCCAGAGGGTGACACGGTGAGTCCAGAGGATGACACGGCGAGTCCAGAGGATGACACAGTGAATCCAGAGGATAACACAGTGAGTCCAGAGGATGACACGGTGAGTCCAGAAGATGACAGTGCATCCAGAGGATGACAGTGAATCCAGAGGATGACACAGTGAGTCCAGAGGATGACATGGTGAGTCCAGAAGATGACAGTGCATCCAGAGGATGACAGTGAATCCAGAGGATGACACAGTGAGTCCAGAGGATGACATGGTGAGTCCAAAGGACGACACGGTGAGTCCAGAGGATGATACAGTGTGATGTAGTTTAACTATGATTGGTAGGTCGCTAAG